GGCCTAAACTTTGGGTATTTTAACAGTTTTCACTGTTGGGTGAGAGAGGCGGTCTTGGCTGAGATGATTTGTGTGATGAAACTCGTCGTAGGAGAAGGAAATGTTGACAATAGATTGTCCTTGGGTAGGATAACATTCACTGAAAATATGAAAAGATTTGGTTGAATTCTCACAGCAGTAGAGCTTTATACTTCTGACCATTTTTTAGGCGATTTTTGATCATTTTTGCAAAAAAAACAAGGAGGGGTGGTGAAATCCCCCCAGTTTGACCAAATTTCCTTAAACTTAGATTGAAGTAGTTTTGGGTGGACCCCTTTAAACTGGCAAAGTTTCATTGAAATCGGTGAGATGGCTTGTGCCACCCCCGCCTGGTCCTATCGTGGATGCACTCTTAACACAACTTCTTGGACATGACAATTCGGACCCGTTTCCCACAGAAAAGAAAACACTGGGAGCCAGAAAACTCTTTTGACATCTAAAATAAAGATAACACTGCATATATCGTTTTCTCCCGTCATGCTATGTATAAAAACAAATATAGTGTGTTGCATTTATGAAATCAATAAACTCCCACAGAAAAAACGAAGTTTTATTTCTGCATGCAACAAAAACATTTTGAATTCCGAAAAAAAAAAAAAAGACGCTGGGTTGAAGGTTGCTGTCAAATAAAATGCTCAATGCCTATTTGAATCCTTGTATATATGAAATGAAATGCTGAACTTGAATTATCCACCTGCAGCAGAGTAAAAATGACATCTGGTTGGCTTGCTGACTGCAGCTGGGACTGCTGACCAGACTCCTGACCGCCTGTGAGTGGACAGTAACTGCAGAACGATACGTGTTTTGACGTCAGTCTCCAAAACACCAGAAAAGTCTCCAGTGACACCAGAAAGAGTCGCTAGATTTGTTACTAGTCGCTTTTGACAAAAAGAAAAGTCGCCAAGAGGATCTGGAAAGTTGCCAGATTTAGTGAGTGTCACGTCCTCTACCTCTGGTGTCCGCTAGTGGCAGGCTTTCTCCCTTTTTCTGCTCGTTCTCTTTTTCTCCTGCTCTCTCATTTTCTCAGGTGGGCGTGAGAACAGACGGCGGTGAGGCTGGTGGCAGGTGTGTAGCATTGGTAATCAGCTGACTGGTCGCTGGGTGATTGGACGCCTGCAGCTGCAACCACTCTCCCTAACAGATCTTAAGCAGCAGTGTGACCAGACCTCAACGCCGGATTGTAGCATCGCTTCAGTTAGTGCACTGATTCACGTTCCGCCTAGCCAGTTGTTCTTTGCTTAAGACTAACCTCACGTCTCTATGTGCAGATTGGATTTCCTGCCTGTTCCTGTGCAGTTCTACTCTCCTGTCAAGCCATTCTCCGGCCCACGCTTCCCTTTCGGACCTCTGCTCATCGGATCATCCTCGTTCCTCAACGCCACCGACATAACCCGCCGGTCTACAGCCGCGGCTGCTCGCCTGCCACCAGCTCGCCCTCATCCGCCTGCCGTCTCTTCTCCGTCCGCCTGCTGCTGTTCCCCCCTCTTCTTGTGCACTTGAGCTAAGTAGCGTAGCTAGCTATAGCTTATTATCTTTCTGTTTTTGTGGTAATGTGCGCGAACGTTACTGTTAGTTTGTAGTCTGACCTTTTAGTCTCGAGTTAGCTCCAGTAGTGGCGGAGGTGTGCGTCTTGCCGCAGAATACCATATTGTTTGTACTTTAATCAGCCCTAGTTTCTAAGCTTCTCCTAATGTTTGGTTAGTTTGCTGTTCCTAGCCAGATTGTTTCCTGGTAATGGTCCTGAGTATATTCTGTTGTTGTAGATAACCTGTGTATTCATTAAAGCTCTTGTACTGATATCAGTCTGCTGTGTTTCGTTGTCTGCGCCTGAGTTCTGCTACTAATCGTAACAGTGAGAAAGTCACTAAGTTGGCAACACTGCACGTGTCGGTGGTTGTGGCGCATATTTTGAGTGATAAAAAATAAAATACTTTTTATTTTAATGTTACAAGATCATCATAATCTTCAAATTTAGAATTACAATTAAAAACTAATTAACTAAAATAAATTTAAATTAAACACTCATTATCTATTTTCCAAAGCCACAAGGAACCCCTGGATTAGTCAGTCAAGATGAAACACCAAGCTCCTGAGTGGTGAAAACAATCAGCTGTAGTCAATGCTATTCTAAGTTGAATGCAGTGTTTCCAGATTGTTGGAGTTTAGTGTGAGTTATTCAGCGAAACTAACAGCTGCGGACTTGGGACTTCATTAGTGTTGGGGCTAACCCTCAACTAGCACACTAATGGCTCTTGTCAGCCCCAAAACAGACTAGAATGAACCACATAATGCACCGGGGTACTGAGCAAGTTCAGTTGCCAGGGAACTGCTTAAGAAGGAACATCGCCATCCACCAAAGGTTTTTGTGATTTGAAGTCCCGTTAAAATAAAAAATCGTTTTTTTTTCTTTTGCTAAGAAATGTGTGTATGGCTCCTTTAATGTTTATGTTTCAACATGTGTAATTCATTTAAAACAAGATCAACCTAAATGTTGTTGTTCCGCATTGATGTAGATGTACTTTGCAGAATTTTCACAGAAAGTAATGACTTTGTTTTTAGTAAAGACTTTTGCTTTCAGGTGTAATTATTCCAACTGTGTTCTTGGAACAATGGCCTGAACAGAACCCAAAAAAAAAGAAAAGAAAAAAGGAAGGAAAGAAGAAAACAAGTGTAAAGAAGGAATTTGGCACAAAAATAAAGGAAAAAGATAAGAACTATAGTGAAAACGGGGAATATTTATGGTAATTTTGGCTTAAATTTATATTCCGAAAATACGTTCTCCTGCTGGTGTATCTGTCAGGCTGTAAAATGCCACAGTCGACACAGATTCATTCAGCAGGTAGCAGTTATTCCTCCTTTCATTTGTTTATCCTTATTAAAGTTCTGTGAAGGTGCTGCTCATTAAATTCTGTCATGCTAATCAGGACACGCCTGCATATTTAACAAACACTAATTGCAGCAGCTCGTTAAGCCTCAGAAAAGCTCTCTGTTACATTAAAATTCACAAAGTCCTTTTGAAGCTCAGACCCTGGAACAGAGGAGGAGCTGAACTCTGTCGCCTTCGCTCACACACAGTTGATGGGGGAAAAAAACTGCACGATTAAACAATCTGCGCAGAATTTTTGACCTCACTGAAAATGCTAAAACAGATGTCACTTCTGAAATACTTTAAGTCAGTAATGCAACATTACAATTTGGAACATGTCTCTGCTACCCAGAATTCCCTGCAATCAGAATCCTAGTGCAACCAACATATTGTCACAATCAACATGTCCCCAAATCATTGCACACCAGCAGTTTTTGCAAGGACCATGTCTTCAAGCAAAATGCCATCAAAATCAAAATGTCCTTACCATCAGTATGTTTTTTGTCCTTACAAGTAATTTATCCTCACAACTGGAGTGTTTTCACAAATCAACATGTTTTCACAAACACCGTGTTCTTGAAAACATGTCCTTGTAGTGCTTTGTCTTTACAGTCAAAATGTTGTTGCAAGAACTAATGTCCTCACAACAAACATATCTCTGCAATCCAGAGTTCCTTGTAAGCTTGTACTCTCAAGATATCATTGGAAACAGCCAACCCCCTCATACCAAATCTAGTCTTTAGAATAGAATAGAATAGAATAGAATAGAACATGAGCAATAAGCCACCAAAATCAAGATGTCCTGGCAGCGAGTCTGTTCTTATCATGTCCTTTAGATTTATTTTTTAAAGCCAAAAGATCCTGACAAACCAATCTGGGCTAGCAAACAAAACATCCGTTCATTCATTACAACGTGTCAACCAGCATATCCTTCCAACAACATGCCCCTGCAATCCAGATTTCCTCTTAACCAGGATACCTTTAAAATCAAAATGTCCTGGCAGTATAAGTCTTCTCATACATGTTCCCAACAACAAATGACTTGTTCCTACAACAAAATTGTCATCTCAAACTAATTTCAACAGTTCCATCTTTACAGCAAACATCTTTGTTACAACCAAAACTCCCTTATACCAACATTAGATTGTCAGTATCAATACCTCACAATCACAAATAACACATGCTTCCAGCCAAACTGCCCTTGCAAACAGCATGACTATACAATCAAAATATCATCAGGACTGACATGTCCTAATAACCAAAATGTGTTCTCCAATGGCTTGTCTTCGTTAACCAAACAAACCAAACCAAAATGTCCTTGCAAACATGTCCTCAAAACCACATTGGCTGTACACGTGTCATGTTCTTGCAGCAAGACACTTTCACAATCAACGATATCCTCACAACGGAAATGTCCAAAATGTCCACGCACCCAACTTGTTTTTGAAGCTAGCATACCACGACTACCATGTCCTCACCAATAATGTGTGCTCACAATAAACATGTTGTCGAGGCAAGAGTGCACACACAACTGAAATGTCTTCAAAAATGTCATGTCCACATTACCTACAAGCTGTAGCAATGACAGTGACAACTTGTAGGTATCACACAGTTTTCCCAGCAGATCAGCCATGACTCCATTGGTTTCAAAACACTTAGCTCTCTCTGAAGCACATGTAGCAGTGTATAGCGATGTCTTCACTGTATTTTGCAATAGAGTTTGTGACATACATTGCAAGAAAGTTGATCAACAATGACAGAAATCCTTGGCATAGTTAGAAGCTCCTGCTCATGTTCTTCAATAATCTATTGTTCTCTTTGGCTTTACTTTCCCTCTGGATCATTTCCTTACAGGGAAACTGCCTCTATTGCACTTTCTTTTCTCTGTTTCTCTCTCCCTTTGTTTTTTTTTGTTTTTTTTTGAGTGAGCATTGCAGTTGTGGCTATCTCAACGCTGCAGTGGCGTAAAAAGCAACACACATTTGACTTGTCTTTCTTTTTCACTGCAATTCTGTAATGAGATTTAGAGGGAAATTTTACGTCAAAAAGTAACCACAGCAGTGACGCTGTATTTTACACTATAATGACTAAACTTTGCTATTCGTGGTTCACGGTTCATATGTGTGGCAACAGTGAGGAGTGATCTGTATGGATTCCAGATCAACTTACATTCTCTTACACCACTAGTTGTATAAAAGCAAAATGTGCATGTTGAACAAAGACATTGAATATATTCAGCTGCTTACTCTTCTTTTAGACCAGCTTGCCACTTGTGTTTTCACAGATTGATCTTTCAATACCCTATGAGTCTGGCCATGGTCTTAGATTCTTTTAGTGGTGTAGATTCAGGCAGCTGTGAGGAGAAAAGGTCTGAAGAGTGAAAGCAGACTCCATTAGTCTCATCATTACCTTTTAAGTAACACTAAGAATCCATTTAATTGGCCTGATAACTGACAGAGCAATACAGTAGTGTGTGTGTGTGTGTGTGTGTGTGTGTGTGTGCGCGCGCACGCGTGTGTGTGTGTGTATGTTTAAGGCAGCAAGGTTAGATAGTTTGTTGTTGGAGGTAAAAGCAGCAGTGTTGCAGCCGAGACTTCAGTCTTCATTAAACAGTATTACACCTACCTAAAGGCAGCGAGTCATCCTTTTTCAAGTCAGTATAAAGCCAGCAGTAGAACAATTGCATTCCTTTCGCAATTGCCCCTAGACAGTCGTCTTTTTTTTGTTCTTTTTTGCATGTACAAATGGTTGATAATCTCCCAATTAGGTGGAGCTGATACATGTCCTCTAGCAATCCGTTAGGCTGAAAACTACAAGCAGTGTGAGGGTGTGGAGTTTCCACAACTACCTGCTAACTGAAGCAATATAAATAACTTGAAAATTTCCTTGCAGAAAATTTGATAGTGCCAACGAAGCATACTTGATTTAACTGTCAAATCAGTCGAAGTTGCCAGAAGGAGAAGACCTCAAACAACCGCCATTTTTGTCAAAACTGTGTGTCAGAGAGAAAAGCCGAGTACATTGTCAGAAAGCCAAGACCTTGGGAATTACAGAGATGTATTTTTTATTTTCCTAGAGTAAAAAATGAGCACACAATCTTTTGAGAAGGAATGTGTACATTTCTGGTCCTTGAGAAAGATCAGTAGGTGTCTTTGAATGGGGGCAGATGGGGAAGGAAGAGAGACTTGTGGAGCAACAAGGCTCCAAAACTCCCCCAAACCTAATTCTGTTGGCTTCCAAAGTGACATTGTGAGCAGGAGGACAAATTTTCCTATGTTTTGATGTAAAAATGATGTCTGTCGCATAAAAATTGTGGCCAGGGCGACAAGTCAAAAAAAAAAAATGACTGTGTGATTTTTTTCTGAGCTCCCACTCTGGTGATGTCATCACTCACTCTAAAGGATCACATACACACCCATTGTAAAGGCTGAAAAGGGGTGAAAAACTTTCAAAACTTGAGAGGTGGTCACGAAGAAACGATTGAAGATATGAAAAAAGTAGACTTTGAATTAGGAGACGGACGCGTCCACATTTTCAAGTTTAAATGGAGTCTCTAGGTGAAAGTATGGAGTGGAGGTTTGAAAAGTAGTGTAATTTTGGGTGTTTTTTTCGTCTGTCCCATTCATTTTCAATGGGAGGTTTTTGCAACATTTTGGCGAATTGCGTCGCGAAAAATGCATTTTGCACACTATTCCCGATCGAGCCGCACGTTTTGATGTATAATTTGTGTGGGTGCTCTCAAATCTGTGGGAGGAGTAGGCCATCGAAATTTTGTACGGAAGACCTGAAATAAGAAGAAACGCACCAGGATAACAATAGTGGCCTCTTGCTCAGCCTGTGGCACTAATTAAATACATTTGCACTAAAAGTTCCAGAAGCATTTCTGTAATGGTTAAGGCAAGGCACTTTTTAGAAAACAAATCGCTCCACATT